GTGGTTAGAGTGCTTGCCTTGCACGAAGCAGACCCAGATTCAATCCCTTGAACCCTGAACACCAGGTATGATCCAATCCTGTGCCCCCAAAGAGAATGGAAGTACCTCAAGGTTAGACAGGCATGAAGGAGTGGTGGATTCATGTCACAGGGTCAGATTCTTTCCCCTAAACTTAGGAACTACGATTCAAGAACGAAGGTACTTAGGGCCAGCGAGATAGCAGTACAGTACGTAGGGCGGGCGCTTGTCTTGCATACCACCTACCTGGGTTCAAGTGTAGATAACCCATACAGGTCCCCTGAGCATTGCCAGGGGTGATTTCTGAGAGTTGTGCCAGGAGTAACCCCTGAGTGACCAAAAACAAAACAAAAACAAAACAAAACAAAAAAAGAAATAAAGTTTCCGGGGAAGTACTTGAATTGCTAGAATCCTGCCAAGTGCTTTCAGGTCAACCCAGGTTTTTATTTCACATTTTATGCAAAGGGTTCTTGGGAGCCTGTAAAAACACAAATTTTTCGAGGTATCCCTTCTGAGTTGACAGAAGAAAAGGAAAAAAAAGAAAATTCCTGGGAAAATCAGCAGGCTGTTGTAGTGTTGTGTTCCATAAATTCTGTGATAGGAACCACCTATAAATTGAACCCCCCTATCAGTGGTACTCAGCTGCTGTAGGTGCTCACGCGGAGCTCAGAGCGCAGTCCAGTGTCCCTGCTGCAGGCTCCAAATCTCTCCTAGTGTCCCCTCCCACCACAGGCTCCAGGGCTTCCTCTGGAGAGCAAAAAGAGTGTCTGAGAGGGTTGGGACCCACAGTCCAACAAGAACAATGCCTCTGGGACAAGCAAATCTTGTGGGCACAGAGCCTAGAGCCTCTGAGATCTCTCCTCCCAGTGCTCATATTTCAGAAGTTGAACCCTGAAAGTGGGTGAAGTGTAGGAATGCAGCACCAGAACTAGTACACGCGGAAGCATTCCCACAAAGTCAGGGCCACGTCACAGCCAGGCTTACATCAAAGACTAGAGCCGACAGCCAGGAGCATCCTCCATGGGAACATATCAAACCAAATGCCCTCCCCAAGCACCTACAGAAGTTACACACACACACAGAGAGAGAGAGAGAGAGAGAGAGAGAGAGAGAGAGAGAGAGAGAGAGAGAAAACATAATCAGGAGTAGTTTGAGCACTCCTCTGGGACTGGGTGTGATCTAAAAACTGAGACTAATAAATATCCCCAGTCCCGTTAGCTTGGTTCAGCTGGGGGCCCAGTGATAGCCCCGTGGGTAAGGTGCTGATGGGCAGTGTATCCCAGGCATCCTATATAATCCTCCAAGCACTGTTGGGAGTAACCCTTGAGCATCACCAGTTTGCACCCGCCCCCGCCCCCCCCCTCATAAAAAAGACTTGGTTCAGTTGGAACCGAATAGGCTGGGCCCAGACAAGGAGAGTTTGACCGGCAGCTTAGTCTGTCTTTGGGCCCCTGCGAAGCCGCAGACGGAAAGCAGCAACAGGCTCCAATAAACCGCCAGTCCCCGTTAGGCACAGGTACTCGAGGAGGAATGGGGAGTGTCATTTCTAAGCTCCAGCACTCCCTTGCCGGAGGAAACAAAATCAGATCGTGCAGGGCCAACGAAAACGGAGCTGCCTGGTGTTGCCTCTGCACCGCATTCAGTCTGGGCCAGGAGCTGTGGTACTAAGTGACCAGACAGCCCAGGAAGGGCCTGACTCTGACTTCCCTAGAGTGTCACCCCGGACACCGGAGCCACCAGCACGGCAAGCCCAGCAGGCTCCATCCGGAATGAAGAGCGGTCGCTGTCTGCGCCTCGCAGCTCCCTCCAGCACTGGCCTCCCCACGCCAGCCAGAAAGGAGCAGAAAGCGTTGTTGCTTTTGTTATTCTTGTTATTGCTGTGGTCATTGTTATTTATTTTGATTTGGGGCCACACTCAGCAGTGCTTGGGGCTTTCTCCAGGCTCTGCGCTCAGGGGTCCCTCCTGGCGGGACTCCCCTCCCGGGACCCTTTGGGGATTCGGGGATGGAGCCCAGGCGGGCTCTGCTAGGAAGCGCCCTACCCGCTGTGCTAGCTAGCGCTCTGGCCCTCACCCGCGCTATTCGCAAGAGGGGGCAGCTTTGGGGGTGGAGACCCTCCTGTGTTCCCGGGGCCCTCGACTCAGCAGCGGCTCCAGAACTGTCCGCTCACCCGAGCCCCTAGCCGCCACGGTCCCCATGTCACTCGGTGCGTGGCACCGAGCGGGCCCCTTCCGGGGCTCGGGAACCGCGTCCTGTCCGCCGACGTGGCCGGTCCGCTCGGGATGGAGAGGCGAGTCCTGGTGGGCGACTGTCCCCGGGTCCCCGGGTCCCCTTCAGTGGGACGCCCGCGGGGCCGCTGCTTATGCTCGCCCCGGTCTAGGGTCCCCGTCACTGTGCGCATTCCCCGCTTCACCCCACCAGGGACTGCGGCGCCCCCCACCCCGCCCTAGGCGCCCCCTCCCATCCCACCTCACCCGCCCAGGGCGCGGTCCCCGCGCTCCTGAGTCGGTGTATCGGCGACCTCGCTGGTTCGCCCCATCCCCAGGTTTTGTTTTCCAGGCCCAGGCGTGGGAAGGGAGACTTGCAGGACGGGATGGGGACGCAGAGGCTGCAGCCGGGGCACAGTCCCTCGAAAGCCGCGGGAAGGGGCCTCCGCGCGAGTCCCCGCGGCGCCCTCCCGCCCGCGACGCGACCAGCCCGAGCACGACCGCGGTCCTTTACCGAGTGCACGGAGCCCCCGCTCGGACTCGGCGGCCAGACTCCCTCCTGCGGCGCCTTCGCCTCCCGGGGAGCGAGCCTGGCGCTGTCTGCCGTCAGCGGCACCCGTGGTCTGCCCAGCGAGGACGCCTGGAGCTTCTCGCCTGCCTCTGGGCTCTGCCTGCGGCGGCCACACGGTCCCCTGTCCCCTCCACAGCGGAGAGACCCGTTTGGTGACAAAACCCCTCCCACCCCGCCGCCCTGGGCTCCTTGGTTGGGGCCCAGCTCCCCACTGACCGCCTGGTGACCTCCCCACCAGCCGTGCCCGCATCAGGTTCCCGGTCTGTGCCTGGAGTGGGGCGTGCTCCCTGGAATACTGCAGCCCTTGTGTGCTGATGGAACCCCCCCCCCAGCCAGACTTCCCCACCCCAATGGGGCCTTCCTCTCTCCCCGCCCATGGGGGGCTGTCTGGGGGGTCTTCTCATAAGCAGGGAAGAGGACTAAGGTAGCATTCCCCAGATTCCCTAAATCCTAAGATCCCAGGAGACACCGCCACGATGTGGGTGGGTGTTACAGTCAGCATCTTCAGAGTTGAGAAAGGGGGTCGCTGGATCTGGTCAATGAGATCCACCAGGACATATGCCTTCCTGCACTTTGGAACAGATGGAGCACTGTGGTGGGAGTCCCTTGGCCAGCCGGAACCCTCAATGGAGTTGTCAGAGTGGTCCCAAGGGATGCAGGGATGTAGTCATGCACAGGGGGTCTATTTCTGTGTGTGTGTGTGAAATCAGAGCCCCACAGGTTTTTCAGGCGCGCTGGCGGGCAAGTCGTCTGGGAGCTGTTTGTTTGCAAGGCTGAGTTAAGGGCCTCCAGCCGAGTCAGTTTCCCAGACTTGGCAGAGCTGGTGCACCGCAGAGTTGTCTGGAGTCCTCAGAAAAGTGCCCCTTTTTCTCACTCCTCCCATCCCCAAACCCAGGTCTGCCATGCACGGACCGGAAATCCAAGCCATTTGAGGAAAGGGAGATCAAGCCAAGATCTGAAAAGGAAGCTGGAGGCTGCCACCGCAGGTGTTGCTCTCGGTGTGAAAGTGAGGCCTTTATCGGAGGAGGAGCTCCCTTCTCCCTGCGTCTGGAAGGACCTGGTCAGTCCCGGCTTCCATCAGCAGTGTGACTTCCTATGCCCGTGCAACGGCAGTGGGCCTGTGTGTGGCAACTGCAGGGGCAGGAGCAGGCAGGCATACTCTAAGCCCCGTTAAGACTGGGCAGGAGGTTGTGTCCACTTCCCGGCTGAGGAAGAGGCTTCTGGACAGGCCACCAAACCTTGGAAAATGTTGCCCTGCACCGCTCAAGCCATGGCTGGCTTCTCTCCCTGCCTGGCAGCATGCCTGCTGTCTAGACTCAGTGTCCAGGCCCACAGTGGCTGCAGAAGGGCTGACCCGGGGCCATCCAACATCAGTGCTTCAAGTGACAGGAAACCAGTCACCCAGCAGAGGCACCTTCTCAGCCAGGCTGCTTCCAGGCACCTGGGCCCCTGCGACTTTGGGCCATTCCATGTGACCCAGTCCCTTTTGCATTGACCCACTTCCTACTGGAATGAAGGGTGGGCAGTTGAAAGGGCCCCTAACACATAGGAAGAACCAACGAAGGAGGAGGAACATGAGGAGGAACGGTGGATTCCTTGGACCTGCGGCAATCTGGGTTGCCTGCAGGGAGAGAGAACCAAGCTCACTTCCTCTCTGGCTGGGGAAAGTCTATTTTAGGACCATGCAAGTGAGTGTCCCTTTTGCTCAGAAAAATCCCTCATTAAGTCCCTCTGTGTCATAAAATATTTTATTGGGGGTGGGGATCACCGCCTTCGCAAGATCGGGGTTAGGGGGGCCCCAGCGATGTGGGGGACCCGGTTTCCAGAAGGAGCCTGTGAGTCATCCCTGTGCCTTGGGGGTCCCCCAAGCTCACGGAAGCGGGTGTGTGCCTGGCCACTTCAGAGGGCCGGCGAGGAGGAAGTGGGGGTGTGGGGGGGGGGCAGGTGTGAGTGTGCAGGAGTGGCCGTTGGAGGCAGGACTCTAATTCCCAAAGCCAGGACACCCGAATGTATGTGAGCCTGAGGCTGGCTCCGTGTCCTTCTCTGCTTGGCCCCAAATGTCCGAGCCAACGTAATCAGACATGAGAAAGCCGAGGGCCTGGACGCCAAGGGGCCAGGCCCGCAGATTCCCGTGGACAGTGGTGGTCTCCCCAGGCAGTGCGGGGTGCCCAGCCAGGCCCCAGCAGGCATCGGCTGGCTCAGTCCTCACGGCTCCGGTGGATCGCTGACCTCTGCGGGCGGCTCTGCCGGCTTCTCTGCCTCCTTGGCGCGCTCCTGCTCCGTGAGCTGCTCGCTCGTGGGGATGGAGTTCTTTTTGGGCCGCCCCTTGGGCTTGGTGGGCGACTCCAGTCCCCCACCCTGCAGCACCTGCAGTGAGGTGTGGGGTACAATCGACATCCAGGTGAGCTGAGCCGCGATCCTCCCCCGCCCCAGCCCAGAATGCCTTGAGCCAGGGCCTCCAGGGACCAAGAAGGCCACCGCCAGGTTGTGTCTCACCCCAGACACTGCAGCCATTTGTCTGAGCATCAATGGAGAAAAAGAGGCAGACCGCCCCGACCAAGGGACGCAAGGCACAGCCGTGCACCAGGGCATGGAGAACGCTGGGCACCCAGAGACTTGGGTGAGTTAGGTCAGCAGCTCTTTTTTAAGATTTCATTTTATGTTTGAATTTTCTGATTATTTGGGGACTACGCAGGACTGTGCTCAGAGATTACTCCTGGCTCAGTACTCAGGCTGAGCTCAATTCTTCCTGGTGGTCTCTGGGGGGTGGGAGGGGGCATATGGGATCAAACCCAGGTCAGTCTCCTGCAAGAAGAGCGCCCTGCCCTAGCCGAGGTACTATCTCTCTGCAGCCTTTCCAGAGTGCAGGGACTGGGGGCCAGGGAAGGAAAGACACACTCACTATTTTCTTCCACTTCATCCTCCGATTCTGGTACCAGGTCTTCACTTGTAACTGGCTCAGGCCCAAGGACTCAGCGAGATCTATTCTGAAAAGAGCAGGGTGCACCCTCAGCAAGCAGCCCTCCCCTTGCACCCCCACCCCCACCCCGGGAGCGAGGGGGAGCTCAGCCTGGCCCTGTGCTACCTGTCTGGGGTGGAGAGGTACTTCTGCTTCTCGAACCGTTTCTCCAGGCCCATCAGCTGCAGCTCCGTGAACACCGTGCGGCTCCGACGACCCTTCTTGGCCTTTGTGCCTGGCTCTCCCGGCCCTGGTGCCTCCAGCTTCCCGCGGAGCTGAAGCTCTAGAGGCAGGTGTGGGGTCCCGGGGGCACCAGGCAGCCCTGGCCCTGTGGCCAACAGTGCCGACCCCAAGCCGGAGCAGCCCAGTGGTGCCAGTGGGAACTTAAACACAGCAGCTTGCTCTGCCTTCAACACGGCTGAGGGGAGAGAGTGCGGGTCCCAGTGAGCTCCTGCCTGCTCAGTGCCACTGGCTACAAAATCTCAGCTTCTTCCGTGCCGGGGTGCATGGGGCAAGTAGCAGAGCAGTGAGAGCGGGTGTCTCTACAGCTCTGCCTTCGGGGTTTGCAGCGCCTAGACGGCACGAAGTGTTTCACGGGAAAACAAAACCCAAGGAAACCAAGGCAGGACGAACGCCTCTCACAACCCAATCTGCGTCTCTCTGCCTTGGGGAACGCGCGCGCACCAGCTGCGGGAGCGCGTCTACTCTCCCGCGCGCCTGTTTGCCACGCGGCGCCCCGGTGGTCAGCGAGAAGGGGCTGGCCGCTGCCCCGAGGCTCCGAAGCACCCGGCTATTCCACACACCATCCTTTCAGTTTCCTCTCTCCAGACCCTTCGCGGTGGTGGCGATGCTTTCGTTAGTCTTAAAATGAATTCGGCTGCCCGCTTCAAACGAATTCTTAACCACAATGCAGTTGAAGGGGGAAAAGGTTCGGGGAAAGGTTACCCGGGAGTGGGACTTAAAAGGAACAAGCCGGCCCTGCCGCCTCACCTCCTTAGAGGGTCTCGGGGAAGGAGCCAGCTGGCTTGACCAACAATGGGGGTAAACTTCGGGTAAAGGGAGGGGGGGGCTCCCTGAGGGAGGTCCCATGTAGGTGGAGAAAGCCCGGACCCGGGGAGAAGGAGGAGCGCAGGGCAGAGGTGGCGGGGAAGGACGGGAACCAGCGCGCATCGCCGCAGCCTGGGCAGTGGCCCGCGCTCCGCACACTCCCGGCCAGCAGGAAACGGAAGGGCCAGCGGACAGGAGGCTCACAGTCCGGCTAGGCCAGGCTAGGCCTCGCGGGGTGACAGCGCAGCACAAGTCCCTCGGTCGGTTACAAGCCCGAGCCCCGGCTTCGCGAAGGCTCCAGACGGTCAGGGCCCGCCTGGGCACAGCCCTCGGGGACACTGCCTGTCTGCAGACCTCAGGGTTCTGCTTTAGGGCCTGGCGTCCCCTGGGCCATCGGGGCAGCTTTGCAGAGCAGGCCCAGGCGGACTCTTTGGGGCCCGGGTCGTTCTACCCGTCTCTTGGACATCCGTCATCCGTTTCTGCACCAGCGAGGGCAGCGAGACCTGGTCCCCGGATTGGACTGCGCCGGGCTGCAGCTGCGCGAGCTCATGCCACGGCCCAGACTGCGGGCACCAACTCGGCGACCCCGCGCGCTGTCCGGCGCTGCCCCCCCCCCACCAGCCCCCAGCGTACCCGCCTAAGCGCGCTCAGGAGGGCTGCACCCCCGCCTCCCCCGACCCCCAGCGGCCCTTGAGGCAGCGCGCCCCGCCGCCCCGGCCGCGCCCCAGCTCGGCCCGCACCTACCCAGGTGGCTGTGGAAGGGCCGCGCCGCCAGCAGCGCCTGCACCCCGAATTTGAGTAGCTCGCCCGCGGCGGCGGCGGCGGCGGCGGCGGGCGCCGCGCCCTTGGGCCCCGGAGGCTCGGTGAGGATCTCCTCGATCATGAAGCTGCGGTAGCGGTGCGGCCGGTGGTCGGCGCAGCCGTCCGGCGGCCCGAAGCGCGCGACCCCGGGCTCCCCCGGCCGCTGCATGGCGGCGCGGCGGCGGCTCGAGCAGGCGGGCGGCGGCGGCGGCGGCGGCTGCGGCGGCGGCTCGGGCGCGGGGCCCCGCGGGGCTCTAGGCCGGCCCGCAGCTCGGGGCGGCGCGGGGGCGCCGGCTCATGCCCCCTCCCCCGCCGGCCGTCCGGGCGGAGGCGCAGGGCGCGGGCGGGGCGCGCGGGGCTCGGCCGCTCGGTCGGACCCGGGACTGCGCCCCCGCCCCGCGGCGCCGCGCCTCTTGCCCGGCCGCCCCGCGTCACTGCCCCGCCCCGTCCCGCCCGGCCGCCCCGCCCTCCGCCGCCCCCCGCGCCCCCCGGGCCGAGCCAGAGGGAGGGACGGCGCAGGGAGGAGGTGGGAGGGGTACGCGAGAGGGACCGGACGACCAGCGGCGCGGGGGAGCCGGTGCGGCGCACACCCCGGACGGAGCGCGCGGAGACGGGACCCTGGGAAGAGAAGAGGCCCCTGGAAAGGTGAGAGGGGCCGGAGTGAGCCGGCGGGGGCCACCCAAGATGCCAGACGGCGGGGAAGGTGCCAGGGATGCGCGCGGAGGGAGGGCGCGCCGGGCGCGCGCCGGGACGTGCTGGCGGGCGCGAAGGCGGGCCGGGCTGGGCAAGGAAAGGGGACCGCCGGGAAGCGGCTGGCCGGGAGCTGACGGGCGCGGGGCAAGGTCGGGCGGAGCACGGGGTGGGTAGGCCACGCGGTCTGGCCACCACGGGGCGCCCCGTGCAGCTTCGCTCCAGGGTGCGGGGCAGGGGTATAGTCGTAGGCGGCTGCGCCACGCGCAGTGGAGTGGCCGCACCTGTGCGTCCCGCCTCAGTTTACCAGGCACTGCCTGCCTTCTTCCTCTGATTCAGTAAAGGAATGCTCAGCCCTTGCCGAGCGATCGCGAGCTCATCCTCACTGCAGGGAGAGTTGAGCGTGTGTGTCCCTGTTAGAGAAACAGAGGGTTCCGGGGACAGAGGGCTAAACCTCCGTCTGTGCCCAGCCCAGGGGCGCGCAGGGAAACCAGGGTTGGCCTGAGCAGGGTGAGGGGGTCCCGGGACCCCGTGGGAATCGAGGGACCCGCTGGAGCTTGACCCGGCTCTTCTCTGCACCTTCCCAAGTCCCGTCTCATTCGCCAGGTGAGCGTGGAAGCCCCGGCTCAGGGTCAGCTGCTGTGGGGCTGAACTCTCTGCACAGTGTCCCTCTTCAGGCCCGTGCGCCCCTGGTTAAGCCACTGCTCCTGTCTTGGTTCCCGGATCTGTACCGAGATGGTCTCACTCTTGAGGATTGCATGAGGGTTCTGCAGCCCGCAGCCTCCCCTGCACCCCCACACACACTTTCTTGGGGAGGAACCCCATTTCGGGTAGAGAAAGTAGGGAATATTCTCCCCCCCCCCCCCCAGGCTGAGTGGGTCCTGCCCAGACCTTGCCCTTCGCTCAAAAGTTCCTGGCCTGGGTTGGACCAGCCCCCTCTGCTTCCTGTGTGAGCGCTTCCAGGGCCTCAATGTTCACCTCTGGGAAATGGAATGAATCCACAGGGACTCCTTGTACATAGGAGCAAGGAGAACATCTATCCAGAAGCCCAGAGCTGAGTGACTCCTGGACGCTGTGGGAGGCCTCCAGGCCCTGCAGAACCCTGCAGTCCTCTGGAAGGGGAAGGCGCAAGGCCACCCAGAGTGGGGATCTTCCGCATTGAACCCACCCCTTCCAGTGAAGCCTGGGGCAGTTTTCTGTCCTTGATGCAGTTAAATGCCCCCATTCTAGGAGAACTGCCTGAGATTTAAGTGTGCCCTGGAGCCCGGGGCAGCATAATCGGGCACCCACACCAGCCACAGGCACAGAAAACCCCAACCACCTCAACCACCAACGCCGTTAGATAGGGAAACTGAGGCAAGTGGAGCCCAGGGCCCTGGCAGGTTCTGTGGCTCCTGTTTGTGTCAGTAAACCCCAGCTTCCCCTTTCCTTAGACTTCCCCACACCCGTCCCTTTCCCTGGCCACCCCCCAGCCTCCTGCTCCCCTTTTCTTCTTTCCCCAGGGCACCCTCTCAGCCATCCTTCATCTCCTCCTGGGCCCCCCACTACCTACGAAAATCTTCTAGGATCCCAGTTCCGGACTCCTTCCCCTCTGCCCCAAGTCCAAAGAATCTATACCAAACGAATTCAGTCCCCAGGAGGCTCCTGGGTCAGATCTGACAATGAGGGGCCCTTTGCTAGACAGTGCCTCATCTCTCGGATTAGAGAGTCAGGAAATCAGTGTACTGCAACCTGCACCCCGTTTTGCCCCCGTTCGCCTGTGTGAGCCCTGGAGGGCCGCCCCTCGGTTCCCTGAGCTTCAGCCAGGGCAGTTTATCCCAATCTCGAGTCCTAGGCTGCAGCACCAGCAGGATCCCAGTCCCGAACCCCCACCTCGAGAAGCTCAGAGGCTCATTGCGGACCCTCTCCCCCTGCTCTGTCATCTCAGAGTCTCAGGCTGGTCTAAATAACTGAAAGCACACGGGGGTGGGGGATGGGGGGGATTCAGCACTCCCTCTATGTGTAGAATCATGATGCGTCCTGTTCTGGACTGGGTTTTCCTGAAGCGCAATTCCACAACAAACCCGCAGATAAACCCCCTTTAGACGAAAAATTTCTCAGTCTGCGCGGCCTTCCCAGCGAGCAGGCAGCGCATGGGGTGCGCGGGAGACCCGGAGGGCCCTCCTCCACTTAGGAGCACCGAGGCCTGGAGAAGAGCAGCTCCCCTTCCGCACAATCTGGGGTGAGACGTCCTGGCGTCCCGCTCTCGGGACGCAGCGACCAGACCCTACTCGGGCCTCCCGCCGTCCGCACTCAAGGTCCGGACAGTGTCCACTGGAGGCGGGTCGAGCAGAGGAGACGGTCAGCGCCGCGCGGCCGGGAGGGGCTCATGTCAGTGGCGGGGGTCCGCGTTCCCCGCCACCTGCGGGGGAACCTGCGTTCCCCTCCACGCCGCGCGCCCCAGAACCCCACCGCCACTTTGGAAACGGTGACACCGGGGGGCCAAGGATGCCACCCTCCTACTTCCCTTGGACCAGGAACCCTCAGCCAGGATGTGTACTTCAAGAGGAACCTCCGAGGTGGGTCTCTCAAGCCGCGCCAGAAACAGGGTCGCGGGGGCAGGGGAAGAATAGGGAAACTGAGTCTGGCGGTGGGCAGGCCCTGGCTGGCTAAATCTCTGGAGGGTCCTAGGAACCCTGCTCCCTGTTTGCTTCAGCTTTTCTGGGTTATCCGAAGATCGATCTCGGGTCCCGCGGAACGAAGCCGGGGTCGGGCCAGGAGCAGGGTCCTCGCTGGGATGAGCGCCCTTCGCCTGCGACTGCGGGGACTCGCCCGCTGCCTCCCGACGCCGGGAATCCGAGCGCGCCCGCTTCCCTCGAGCGCCTCCCGCGTCTCTGCCGCCTCTGGGAAAGTCTCGTTCGTGCAGTCCCCTCTCAGAACGGCTGCGGTGGCCCCAAGGTCGCCGAGACCGCCCGTTGCTGCTGCTGCGGGTGCCCAGAACGAGCCTGCGACGTCCGCCCCGTCCGCGGAGCAGAAGGTCCGCGCCAGGCCGGGTTCCCCCGCGCCCGCCTCCGCCGCCCGCCCGGTGGGAGAAACGGGTCTGCGGCGCGTACTCTTACGAATATCTCCAAGTTCAAGCGTGGATTTCCCTATGTGGCTGATTTCAAGCCTCCGTGAAGCGAGCGAATTTCCCATTGTGGCTGATTTCAAGCCTCCCTCGAGCGAGGTGCCCTCTTCGTCGTCAGGTCTGTCCCTCCCGGATTTTTCTCCCCACACCCCCACCCCTCCACCCCAGGGGTTACTTCATTTTTGTTTTGTAGCCTTTGTCAGTCTCGGTTTTCTTTTGCAATGTAGCGCAGGGTGCAGGCACAGGTAAGTGGATTAACCCAGCAGGAGGAAGTCCCTGCCGTCGGGGTACCAGCGCGATCCTACGCACCCGCGCGGGGCCCAGCGCAGCTAATTCTCCCCTCGCCACGGCAGCGACCTGGAATCGAATCCGACGAGATCTCCTTGCCGGGAAACGGCGACCGCCTGTGGGAACCCGCGAATGGGCAACGAGGCCGGGCGGAGTGGCCTCGGGGTCGTCCACCACGGCGTCCACGAACCCCCCAGAGAATCCCCGGCTGCGCCCTGGGCGCCGGAAGGAGAGACGCCGGTCTACACCCCCGCGTCTCCGCGTCCAGTGGGAGCTGAACTCAGCCGTCTTGAGCCCTCGCTCTCAAGCGAGATCGGTCACTGACCGCCCAAGGCCCTCGGGGCGCCATCCCGCCGGGCCAGGGTGCCGCCTTGGCGACGGGCTGGAGGGACCACGTGGTGGTGACCGCGCTCCACCCTGACCAGAGCGCCGGGAACGACCAGGCAGCCCCGGTCTTGCTTTCTTTTCCCTTTTTCCTGCCATCTTTGCTTCTCCTGTTTTTCCTCCCAATTCCCGCTTTGATTTTTTTTTTTTAAACCTGCTTCTCGCCATCCCCTCGTGCGCTCTGCCTTCCTCCAGCGCCTCTCCCGTTCCTTTGGAGCCAGGCTAGGTGGGCAGTGCACAGTGGGTACTGCACAGGTCCGGAGGGCGGAGCGTTTTTAACCCTGTTTTGCTGGGCCAGTCTCTTCCCAGAGAACCCTCCGAGCCCAGGAAGACGGAGCCTGACAGGAGTTCTCAACACCTCCTTTGTGATGCTTTGGGAAGCAACAGCACTGATCCATTCCAGGAGAGTGAGTGTCCTGCATCTTTTCTTGGACGCTGGGAATTTCCTCTCATCCCGGACTGGATGAGAGGAGGGAGTAGGAGACCGGACACAGCCTTCTCCTCATGCATAGCGTCGGTACCTTCTATGGTTCTTAGGTTCCAGGTCTAGCCTGCTGGTCTGGACAAGAGGTGTGGGTGCTCATCCATCAACACTGGGTCACTGCCTCACCCTGCCACACCACGCCTCCTGTTTTACTGTCTCCCTTTCTCTGACAGAACGTGCTCAGGGTGCCCAGATGGGACCTTGTAGCAATAACCCT